CAGGCCCACCATCAAAAAGTTTACCATAAGATCTAAGCCCATAGAAGGAAATATAATCATGAGCTCTTGGCCCAAGGAAATCGTAAAGGTTATGCACTATGGAATTCTGCCCTCGGCAAATTGTTCGGTACTGCCAATGCATTATTGCTCTAACAGATGCTGCACCACCATCATCAATACCACCCTGTTAAATTTTAGATGTCAATATATATTGATACTGTTAAAATGTTTTTGATAGTTGCATAAACTCTACAACTAAATGAAAGTACCTGAAAACCCGGCAGGAGTGGTATGACATAATAACCCTGAAACACTTGTTTTCATTATATGCTCGCATAATACGCCGGTATAGTGCTTCCAAGACCCGATTCCTTATAATTTCATCTCCAGAGAGACCTGATATGAAAAATTGATTCTGGGAACAATTTGACCAAGAACAAAATAGAAGTCAGACATATGAGCTACATGGTGTAAATTCACATGCCTCCTCACCTTCAACCAGAAAACCTGAAATGCTAAGTTAACATTATGGATAAACGTAAAACAGTAGCAGATCAACCAAGCATCTCAGTTATGGAAATAACTGCTACTCACTTACCACTTCCCCAAAACCCATCACAATTACATGCTGGTTTTTTTAAAAAAAAATCTTTGCTTTTAAGTATCTTGCTCTACCCGGAGATCAACCTGCGTTGTTTCCTAAGTATCTTAATGAAACATATATATATATCTAAGCAGAGTCAGGTGAGCTTTAAGATTAAAAAATCACTAAATAAGATTAAAAAAAAGTAAATAGAAGACTGACAGATCCAAACAAACAATTTTTTTTGAAATACACAAATTGACCAAAGCATTTTTGTGCAAGCTTAACAGAAAAATTCATAAGTTATAAAATCAAGGTAGCTGTGATGTCCCTTAATGTTTATTGGCAAGATCATCGATTTTTTTTTATCAATCTAAGTTAAAAAGCCAACGTTGATTAGAACTCATGAAATCTGTTCTACAGGACCATAAATCATAATGGTCATCTTGTCTGGACAATAGTCCATGAATATTTTTTCTGCTTAGAAGATTCTTGCAACATTTTTCTAGAAAGCATATGAGAAAATTATACAGGATACTAGTCTGTAAATCCTTGATATGATGACTAGGAAATTGTATTCACTAATGGTTTTCATTAAATGATTCATATAAACTGCAAGGCAGAGAATTGAAAAGCTCAGGAATACCTCAATATAGATGAAATGTTCTGCTTTCTCAATAAGAGAACAATAAGCACAGTGAATACTCTCTTCAATTTGGCTAGTTCCAGCAGACCACTGACTGACACTCCGTATGATCTGAAAAAGAATATACCTCATTGATGGTGAGAGGAAAAACAAGCCGTTATTTTATAGTCTCAAAGGCAAATTTATAGGAACAAGCCATAAACAGGTGTTTGTTCCCCTTTACTATGTTCACAGAAAAAAAATTATATAGCAGGTTAACTTCCAGTTTGTGCAAATGCCTTGCAGGCAGCGTAGAAGAGACCAAGTAAAATGGTATTTTCTTTTTAAACTAGAATTTTGAATAACAAAGGATGTATCCCAAATTTCATGCTTACACAGTTTATGTAGATAAGAGACAATAGACAATAATTGTTCAAAGCAAACAAAAAAAATACATTCAATAATATATGTATCTTAAATGTTATAGTTGCATGGATATCATTAATTAATGTGTCCTAAGACCACTGTGGACCTGTCACTTAAAACAGCTAGTTAACTAATTTTAGTGGTATGGTTGGAATTTTTTTCTATGGCGAATGTGATTATAGGTACGAGAGTTAGATAACCTTGTTTGATAGTTTTTTAAAAAATTGACCTACAGAAAATATTGTTCCCTGAACCCTTACACCCTTCTTAACTCTTCTCCTAATCACCCATTTTGAACTGGTAAAGCTACTTGGTAACCCATTTTTGTTTTGTCATGTTTAGGAAAATTCCTGTCTTACTTGCGCTTTTCAACAACAAAAAGTGGGTGCAAAAATTTCCTTTGCCTCCTTTACCATATGAACTCCCAGAAAAAATATTTAAATAAAAAAAACCTCCCAGACAAGATATCATCACATGCACTATTTTCCTCTATTTTATTTTACTCTATTTTACTCCCACTACTATTTTGCTCTTTTGGTAAAAACTCTCAAAGACTGTGCAAGGCTCTAGAGTCAAATACATAACCATTTTTCTCAAAACGATAAAAGAACTAGGATATGATCCATCACAAAATCTCCCAGGCACGCGCACAAGTCACAAATCATAAACAGTCATTAATCCTCGTGAAACTAATAACTCATACACATTTCAACCTATTGAATAGATAAATGACACAAAAACAAAACTATTAACACGTCAATAAGCTTAGGTTGGCTGTACTAGTGCTTGTAACATCATGAATTCTCACTCAAAAAGAATTAGCTGATCAGTGCTTTCAAGGACAATGGTTACAAATACATACCGTCAGCTTCCCTAGTACAGAAGTATAAGGTGACAGTACTCCCGTTGCGATGCATCAATCTTAAACTAAAATGTATAGAGATGAGCATTTTTACATCATTTATATCTCCCAATATACTATAGAACATAAAAGCCAAAGTGCATTTACCTTAGAGCCTTACAAATACTATGTACATCTTCAATTAATTTAGCAATTTAGTACTTTAGTATCATTTAAGCTCTTTAAAATAATAGATTCTCTTAAGCAGAAAAATTATTTTACAAGGCTGAGATTAATTTAATGTTGCGAGGAAATAGTCAAGGAGAGGGTCACTATTAGAGACGCAAACTAGGTTCTATATTTTGTCAAGGGAAAAAGAATTCAAGTTCCTTCATAAGTTAGAACCCACCTGACAATGGCATGAAGAACGGGGACCAACTTGTCCAGTTTCATCAGCAGAACCAACCTGATCACCACGCTCTTGTGTTTCCCACCAGTCTGGACCTTGAGTTTTGGGATTCCGCTGTGACAATAGATCTGAAGACATTTCAACATGATGATCCGGGGAATCAAGGTCATCTACGAAGCCTTTCATTGGTGTATCTGTAACTGGATCTTCAATTTTGGACTTCCGGAAAGAGAAAGGAACACTTCTGCTGGGGTTTGAATCTAAACCATTTGGTTTTAAGGCTCCAGTGGAACCATCCTGCTCTTCAGGTTCTTGAGGCAAAAGCAGCGGTATGTCTTGTAAATATGACATGGAGGAAAAAGAGTCCTGCCTTTTCATTCCTTGAAAATTTTCTTCACCATTCTTACTTTCGATCTCCATCTCTTTGCTTCTTCCCATATAGTGCGGAATAACCATGTGATGCTGTGGCATAAGTAGTGGGATTGCTTCCTCATATGGAGCTTTATTTCTCTGAAAAATAAGAACATCAAAAGATCTTTTAAGTTATAAATACTAGGACAACATTATATAAAAAACATCACTGTCTGGGGGGAACCTTGGCATAGTTCCAACGCTGAACGAAGTGTCTGGCTACATCACGACAGGGTGGACCCCAGAGAGCACAATGTACATCATGCCAAGGCATTCGAGGGTACTTTTCTCGATCCAATTCATCTTTCATTGTATCCTCCCATGAATTAGGCTCAGATTCTCTGAAAAAAAAAAAAGAAAATGACAGCTCCTTAAATGAAGAGGAAAAAAGCGATTACCTGCTATTATTCTCCAAGTCCAACCACAGCATGAGATTTTAATTCAGAACATTAAACATATTTTTATGATACAATTACGAACCTGTCATGAAACCAACTGAATTCCTTAGAAGACAAAAGAACTTTATCAAAGTTTTCCACCTAACTAGATCCCTGTGCTAGTTCTGATCATAGTAACATCACACCTAAAAACTTCCCACTCTCCACAAAGTCTTTTAGTGGTTATCCAATATTATTGTACAGGTTACCAGTATATGCTTTTGCTGGAACACTAGCAACGGTATACTCTATACATTCTGAGCATTACATTGTATCATCTGTGTAGGCTCTAAAACATTTTATACATCCCAACCAGTATATCGTATTGTCTACATAGGCTCAGTTTGTTTTAGAGCATGCTTGAAAGAAAAAAATGCATTTATAAGTATTAATCTTATCACGACAGGTTGCATGCACCACAATTTGAAGAAGATGACGTGGGTTTCGGCAACTATTAAACATAAAATCATAATCTTGACATGCACTCCTTTCAAAAAAACTTGTCAACTACACTGCCCTTCCTTTGTTATCAACAGCTTTCTTGTTTGACTTATGATTTTGCTAATGTCAGTTTCAAAATAACTCGTCAACTACCTTCCTCTTCCTTTCTTGTGTCTGGAAATATATGCAGGAGTTCTTCACCCAAAAACTTGAAGGTTCAAACTGCATAAAATCTTTTGAAAATCTTCAGGAGAGACACTGGATAAATGAAAAAGTACCTTGGGTTATAATAGTCCTTTCCAGGCCATACTAGAGATGGATTATCATCTACTCTGTGTTCAAATGTGTCATAACGACCGAAGCATAAGTCCAGACCTCCAATAAAGCAAATCTGATAATCAACAATGACAAGTTTTTCATGGTGGGACCTATATATAAACAGGAATAGATATCAGATCTTAAAAAGAACAGCATAATAAGGGAATGATGTCCAAATTTTTACAAGAAGTACTATAAGAGGGTCTCAAACTATGGCCTACCAGAGGTAAACACCACTAGAGAAGTGGTCAGGATAACGTAATACTCTCACATTCTCGTGAATGCCAAGAAGCTTTCTCTTGCTGTACACACTGTTGATTTTCAAAGCAAGAGCAACCTCTTTGTAGAGAAGAATGAAAATCTGGTGACATAACATGAAGAACGGGTACATTTAGTTTCTAATCTAGGATGAGCCTCAAAATTTTAAAGAAAACATAGCGTACTTATATGCCCAAAAGTCTGTTTCAAGTAACTGATACTGGAACTAAGTCCAGCTAAAACATCCACAATTTACATCAACATTGGACATATAATAAACTTATGAGAACAAGTACTTAGGAAATAGACGCACACACGCAAAAAATATAAAATCTAAAGATCTTATGTAGGGTTTTTAATCAAGTAAGTGATGCTTTCGAGGCAGTAATAACTCTCGATACTCAATATGGGATTACAGTTCTTGATGACTTGAGAATAACTGTGCTTCAAAGTAAAGACTCTTAAGTTAACACAAGAAGGGATGCATATTCACATATATTCACCAACTGTACATATATTCAAAAAAAATGTGGTGATAGAGCTCATCTCCTATGTCCTACAAAAATTCAACAGCTTCAGTATCTATGATAAGTGTTCCAAGACCAATCAATTCAGAGGTCAAAAGAGATATAACTAGTTCATAACAAAATGACCAGAGGAAGATACCTGAACTCCTTGCTTAGCTTTAGCCTCCAACAAAGCATCAAGCCGGGAGGAAGCATGAGCAAGAAAAGGACGTCGTAGATACAGTTCTGGGCAGAGCCACCAACCACAAATGAATATCTGCATGAAACATCAAATCAACCATTAGTACTATGCAGATTACGACTTAATTCTCTATGCTAGAGCAATAAGCAACTGACCTCAGATTTAGCATTTTCAATTGATGAAGCAATAGCTTCAAAGGCTGCCCTGCCATCTACAAACCACTGAGCTTGACTTCCATCTTCAGTCAAACCTCTTGGAGGAGCGAAAGAGCCAAAGCGATGAGGATAACACCAGCCCTCAGGAGGCCTAAGTCCAGCATCATTGATTGCAGCAACCCAATCTTTAATTTTTGCACTACTTTTGGCCCTTAACCTTATACTCCGATTTCCACAAGTCACCTTTTGGAGTTTGAATTATCTGTTAGAAAGTGAATTTCTCTGGATCTTCTTATGAAAAATTAAATATTGCATCTACTTATTGCGACTGAGATTAATGTTTCATATCTATAATGAAATCAAATTTAACATTCGCTTTGGATCCTGAAAAGACCAGTCAGAAACTCTGAGATGCCTCCACCTGTAAGCTTCATAATTTATTTCAATGATTACCCAAAAAAAAAGAGCTTTTGAAAAACTTTATGTTGATTTTCTTGCTATATTTAACACTACCTTCTTTTTTTCATAACAGATATTATGGTTTTCTTGGGGGAAAGGCTAAAACAGAGGCATTAATGCTCCTCATTCATAACAAACATTGAAGTTTTTCTAGAATACACAATAGACCTCAATACTATGCCCCAATAATAGGCAAACGAGAAAGAAAGAAGTAAAGAAGGAAGTGAGAGAATATCATGGCATAAGTGTGGGCCTGCCCTACGATGGATGAAATTTGGACTGATCTCCAAAAGAATTTTAAATTATTGTTATGTTAATTAGGAAAGAAGGGTAATTTTAGTTAGCACTTACAAAAAGGTAGAACACGAACTCTTTTATGTTAATTAGGAAAAAGAGATCAGCTAAAGATCCTTAAATTATGAACTAGATCTTTAAAATTAGGAATTTGATATTTATGATACTTATCCCTTTATCTATTTTCTGAGTCATATGGAAAGAGAGGAATGCTAGAGCTTTTGATCGAATTGAGAGGGAGTATGTAAATGTTAGAAATAGGTGGCTTAATACTTTTGGTTCTTTAATTTTAGGTCATGACATTTATAAGATGAAAGATTTTGGAAATGTCATTGATCTCTAAATTGATTTGCAAAACTTTTTGTACATGGGTGGTATCTCCTCTTCATACCTTTGTTTATAATATTACATTTTTTATCTATAAGAAAAGACATTTATCATTATTAGAAGTAGATTACTAATATATTAGTCTCTGTTAAAAAAGAAAGCTTAAGTTATGGCTTACCTATAAATATGTAAACAGTTCACATTAATAAGAGCAACCAAAGAATAACAAGTTAAAAGCAGATTTTAGAATAACTTACACCTAAAAATCGGTGGAGTCTCTCTAATGAGTCCTAAACCCTAATCCCAGATACTTAACCCATAACCTGATCCATTATATGGGATCATATTACAGTCTACTACTGCCAAAATAGAAAATAATAATTGGATCGGTAATCCTGAAATTCCAGGACATTTGATATAATCTACAACATGTCACAGTGTCCCCAAGATTAAGCACATTGACCTTAACTTCAAAGAGCACAACAACAACTACTTAGATAGCTCTTCATCAGTATTTGGGACACTTCAGTTTCCTTTTCTGCTCGAAGAACATTAAATTTGAACCTTCACTATATAAATTCAGCAGATGTCTCCAAGAAGCAGCAATCATTATTAGCAATTAATAAGAAAAAACTACATGAAAACAAAACCCAATTGGAACTTCATGTAGATAATGTAACACCTAACCGTCCACCCACCCAGAAAAGTAATGAGCTCTCTGGTTAAAGTCTTACACTACTTTTCTCTATATAGTACAAATAAAGAATTCTAAAACATGTAGAAGTTCGTACATATTTATCGGGGCTGCTGATTACCTTAAATGCATGGCGTAAAGGATTACGCTCCTTTACTTCTGTTGCTAATGATACTCGGCCCTCGCCATTCCCATCTGAAGCTGGTAGCACATCAAAAACAATTATATCTAAAGGCTTGGTGTCAAACGGATTTTCCAGTAAGGCCAAGAATCCAGGTTTTAATACAGCCCACACCTAGAGAAAATGGTAGAACATGATAACACTTAAACTTAATGAAGTTAACATAAGTGGATATAAAATGGCAAAATGAAGTAACATTAGAAGTTGAAACTTATGAGATTATCATAAAGATATAGATATATATATATATATATACACGTGTATATATCAGTTATTCAGCCACAATAACAAAACGAAGAACATTTATTAAGTGCCTAACTGAAACAAGATGGAGCTCCATAGGGCAACAAACTCAAATAAACTGTTGAGTAATGAGCAGGAAAAACTATATCAAAAAAGAAAAAGACAAGGATAACTTGTAAGTTGAATCAGTTACGTAGAGCAATAGCATGATACCATACATGATGCACCATAGGATATTGTAAGTTGTCAGTTATGGTCAGGGACAAGTAACAATAGTAGTTTCAAGCGAGCAACTTGGGAGATAGCATACAGACTGGTCAAAACTCAAAAGGTCACTATTACAGCCAAGGCATAACTTTTACACATAAATGGCTCCCCCACATACCAGTAATTTAGCTTTCTGAAATCTTGAACAACCAAAGAAGGGGGTCACACCTAGAGTGAGCGAATAAGAGAAACATAAGAGCATGCCTAATTAGACTCCTCATTCTTCAAAATTTCTGACATGCACTAACATTATTAAGACCAAGTTCTGAAAAGTAAACACTTAATTTATTACCTTCTGCCAGTTATCATTGCAACAACTGAACCAACCGCATCCACAGCACTTCCTATTGTTATCACGCTTAGGAATTTTTGGTAGATGTTTTGCCATAACGAAGTCTTCTTTCAGCTTAGGGCCATACTCAGGTGAAAATGACAACTTGGAAACTTCCAGAAATTTGCAAACCTAAAGACAGCACTTATCATTGTGAATAGTGAATGTTAACAATGGAAATGTTAATAGCGAAAAATTTAAAAAAAAAAAAAAAGAATCAGATGTACAAAAATTAGCAATGAAGTGCATTAAATATTCCATTAATTTACACCTACTCGATCAAAATAAGAATCATTATGATTTCAATCTTCTAATCTATATATCTTTGCTAACAATCCCAATCAGCATGGAGAAGAACTGAAAGCCACCTGACAGAGTCCCAAGCTTTGGATCCAGTAACAGGACCCGCTAGTGTGAAATCCTGAAGCTGCTTGCTTCCCTGCTGCCCGCACTTGCCGGTCTAGAATGAGACCCATCTAAGAGAACCTCCAATCTTCTAGAGAGAAAGTGATAATGGGAGCTATTTAGATCCTTATTACAATCTAGAAATCATAGTTCTAGTTTCATTCCAAGTCCTAATCTAAATCTAATTACAATTCTAGGAATCTTAATCCAAGTTCTGTTCCTATTTACTAATCTAACTCTAAAACTAAATAACTAATATAAATCTTTAGATAATTCTAACTCTTATTAGTTCCTTAAAGAAACCAATGTTCTACTAGACTTTTAGCTGCTTTCACAAGTCCCACACCCTATTATTTTCCATACAGTAATATCTCTCCCCTCCTCGAATTGAAACTTGCCTGCAAGGACCAAAGTAGAATGTTTTCTCGTCCCTTGCTTCCTCCTCATCTCTTGCCTCATCATTCTCATGGTCCAACCAAAATAACCTTTATACGCATGCTCTTGGACAAACCATTCAGCACAGCCAAAGCAGAGGCCCTTTTTTCTCCTGTCTTCCATCCCATTCCTACTTAATTTCTTGACAAATGACAGGTTGGACACTCATCTATTGCAATTGTCCTCTGGGTTTCTTTGGTCACCCTTTCTCTCTTAGAGTCTTGCCAAACTCATAGCAGTAGTGATGTCATGTGGTTGTTGTAACTCAACTTCATCAAAAATATATTCTTGGAGACCACTGATAAAGATCTCAACTTCTTGCTTAGGGGTGAGAATGGGTGCACACGCTGAAAGCTGATTGAAATGTCGTTGGTACTTGG